GGGGCCGCCCCCCGGGGGGGAAAGGGCCCGGGGGCCCCCCCCCCGCCAGTCCATCCAGAAGTACGTGAAGAGCCACTACAAGGTGGGCCAGCACGCCGACACCCAGATCAAGCTCTCCATTCGGCGCCTGCTCGCTGCCGGCGTCCTCAAGCAGACCAAAGGGGTCGGCGCCTCCGGCTCTTTCCGCCTGGCCAAGGCCGACAAGGCGAAGAAGTCCCTGGCCAGGAAGAGGAAGAAGGTGGCCAGGCAATCCACGTCGCCCCGGAAAGCGGCCAGGCCCAAGAAAGCCAAGTCGCCGGCAAAGAAGCCCAAATCTCCCACCAGGAAAGCCAGGAAGAAGTCGAAGGCCAGCCCAAAGAAAGCCAAGAAGCCAAAGACTGTTAAGGCCAAGTCGCTGAAGGCGTCCAAGCCCAAGAAGGCAAAGCGGTCGAAACCCAAAGCCAAGTCCAGCGCCCGGAAATCACCCAAGAAGAAGTGAGAAGTCTAGAGGCGTTTCGGTACTCTCCCCGTTGGTTTCTGTAAATAGCTTTTGCCTTTATTTTTACCCTTTTCTATTGCGTTTTATAAAGAAATGGATCTATTCCTGTCTGGAAACAGCTAAAACACGGCAGTTATCAAAAGAAAAAAGGAACATCTTTGGTATGGAGAGTTCCAGTTTTTAAGAGTTACTGGTCTGGGTTTTTATTTCAATGTCTCAGAAATTTCTCGCGTGTGTCTGTTGTTTTTTTTAACGCTGGGCTGCTTGTTGTGCGTTGGGAGTGATGGTGACTTTGTGTGTCTGTAGAGGCCATACAGGATTTCAATTCCGGATCCTGCCCCGGCTCCAAGGGGGTTGTGTGTTTGCTGGGGCCAGGCAAAGACTCTCCCTGTGTCGGAGGGGAAGCGGGAACACACGGCTGCAAGAGCCACAGCCTTCCCGGGAAGAAAAGGGGCTCCCTGCTCCCTCTTCCACCACCCTGGCTCCCCACCACGGGGCCGAGGCGAGGTGTGCTGGGCTGCTGGGTGTGAGGTCTGGGGGGTGCTGGAGATGATAACCACCCGGCCGGCCGGGCAAGGGGGCTGCCCGCCTGCCTGCAGAGCCGGGGCGGTGCAGCTGGGTGGTGGCAGGGACTTTTGGGACAGGGACGGGAGAGGATGGAGCTGGAGCGGGGCCAGGGTCTGTCCACGTTTGCTTTGAACGAGTTGAATGTGTCCAGCAAGCGGGAAGGGGTTGATCCCTGGAGAGAAAGGACGAACATGGCTATGAGCAGCTTTGCTCCCTGGGGAGGAAGGGGCCCGAGCACGGCAGCGGGCAGCTCTGCAGGCAGGCTGGGGTGGGCAGCCAGGGCAGGGTGAGGCAGGGCTGCTGGGCACGGCCCCGCTATCACCCCGGGGCTCTGGCTTTGTGCCCAGCGGGGGCTGGCATGGCTCCAGGGCCTGCCTGGCCCTGCCTGGCCCCTGCCAGAGCCCTCCCCGGCCAGGGCTGGGCGGTCCTGACGGCCAGGGCTGGCAGCAAGCCTGCGGGCCGGCTCTACTGCTCAGCAGGGTCTGAGCCACAGGCAGGAGGTGCCTAATCCCCCTTGACTAGAGATGTCTAAACTCCGTGGATGTTGGAATCCCCAACCACCTGGGGCAGGAGCTCCAAAATCCCAGGGGCTGTGGGTGCCCAGTCCCCTTGGGCTTGCTGTGCCTAAATCTCATGGGCCCAGGGTCTTCACCCTCTCTGATCCATCGGCCTGATGATCCTAAATGATCCCGCTTGGGCAGGTGGTGCCTGAGCCTTTTAGCCACGGAGGATCCCAAATTGTGTAGTTCAGGGTACTGAAATCCTTGGCCTGGAGGCACCTAATCCCTTTGGGCTCTTGTTCCTAAGACCCTTGGACCAAAGGCTCCCAGACCACCTAGGCTGAAGACCTTAAAGCCCTTTCAAGAGCCTGGTGCCTAATCCTCCTGGACATGAGGATCTGGCCACTGGATTCCCCAGTCAGCGATAGTGGAGGATGGAGATGCCTGATCCAGCTGGACTCTTTGTGCCTAAACCCCTTTGGCCAAAAGCACTCTAATTCCTTGGGCTCGGGTACCTAATCTGCTCCAGCTGCTGTCTTAAACCTCTTAGACCAAAGGAGCCTTGGTCACCTCAGCTGGATGCACCCAAATCCTATAGACCCTTGGTTCATTACCCACTGTGGTGGGCACCCATAAACCACCTAGGTGCGAGGATCCAAGTCACCTGCGCTGAGGACCCCAAATCCCTTAGGTGGGCGCACCTAATGCTCCTGGGCTTGTCGATCCTCAGGGTCTGTGATGGCTCCGAAACCCCTAGTACGTGACCCCCCCCTACAGTTCCTAAATCCCATGGATGGGGTTCCCCCAAATCCCTCAGACTCCAAGGATCCCAAACCACCTGGTTTTGGGGTGCCTAAACCCCTTAGGACAGAGCTTTCCCCCCAAAAAAGGGCGTGAAGACCTCCTAGAGAAGCTGCAGAGGTCCGGCGGGGAGGGGCGGGGGGCGGAGCCACGGCAGCGCCCGGCTCC